ACTCTTTCACTAAAGAGTTGTTTCAAAATTTCTATAAGGAAGTTCCGATAAAAACACTACTGCTTGACCCAAAAATAATAATAAAAGAAAATACACAGCCCAGCTTTCCTCTCAATTGTCCACTAAACCTATGTCAATAAAAGGCAGGAAGCCACACAGTAACCGCTCACTACATTACTGCCGAATGTTCAAGAAAAGAATCTCGGGTTCAATCCAGTCTTTTAAAAAATTTAAAAAAAAATTTTTTTTCAGTCAGCTCCCCAAACTCTAACATAACCTCGCATCAAAATAAGTCTCATCTGGACTCGGGTCGGCGCTGTGGGACCCCTCACGGCCCCCAGAGCAGCCCCGAACCCCTCGGGCTACCCCAGCAGGCTGGGGTTTCGAACAGCCCAGGGAGGTTTGGGGTCCCCACCCTCGGTGCCTCCCACCGCCCTCTGAGCGGCTGCGGAAGCCGGCCCCCGTCCCGCCGCCACTCTCCCTCTCGTCCCGCCCCTCCCCAGCCCCACTCAACTCTTCATCATGGATGCGGAAGCCGGCGACAACCCCTTGCCGAGAGTGGAAGGAGAAGAAAGGGACAGAAAGGGTGGCCCCTGGCTTCCACTCCTTTGAGGCAGGGCCCCGAACTAGGACCTCCGCGGTGGTCCCTAGATGGAGCGTTAGGATCCGGCCGCCATGTTATATTCCTGTCTCCCTAGCAACCGTCTGGCCCTGACCTCCTCGAGGCCGTTAGCCCGCGCGTGCGCAAAACGCCCTGTCCGCGCCCGCCAGCCCTACGTGTACGCGTGCGCACTGCGGCCCGCCTCCTCACTCTAGTTGCTAAGCAATCCCCGGCAGCTTCCGGCAGTTCCCTGCCTAAATTATTGTGTAGACTGCCTTCCCCGGGATCGCTCACCCCAGCGGTCCTGAGAATTTAGCGATTTGGGACCTAATGCCCGGACAGCAGCCTTGAGCTTTAACTGGGCTGGGACACACTAAATAATTGTCAGTTGATACCTGTTCTTTGCAGCTATTGTTCTCATCTTACTACTGAACATCCACTAACCTTAATATATTAATATAAAATAGATAATACATTCACATGATTCAAGATTCAAAAATAACAAAAACAGAGCCAACAAAGTGGAAATCCTCCCTCCCACCCCTCTGTCCGAAGTTCCTCTCCCCATAGGGTAGATCTCCCCAAAGATCTCATGTTATATGAGATCTTTTATTCTTTTATTCCCTTTTTCTTACACCAATGGTAGCATAGTATAGACTCTGCTCTGTTTTGTATTTTTCACTTGACGCTTTAACTTGGAGATTTTCCCCTACCAGTACCCAAAGAGCTTTATTATTTTATTTAATGGCTATACTAGTTCATGGTTGTACCATCCCTTATTTAACTTGTCCCCTACTGATGGTCATCTAGATTACTTCTTTTTTTAAATTTATTAATTTAAATTTTATTTATCTTTGGCTGTGTTGGGTCTTTGTTGCTGCGCGCGGGCTTTCTCTAGTTGCGGAGAATGGGGGCTACTCTTCCTTGTGGTGTACGGGCTTCTCATTGCAGTGGCTTCTCTGGTTCTCCAGGCTCAGTAGTTGTGGCTCGCTGGCTTAGCTGCTCTGTGGCATGTGGGATCCTCCCTGACCAGGGGTCAAACCCGTATCCCCTGCATTGGCAGGCAGATTCTTAACCACTGCGCCACCAGGGAAGCCCTAGGTTGTTTCTAATAGCCTGATCTTTCAAACACTGCTGCAGTGACCAGCCCTGAATATGCATCATTTCCTATACGTTTATGTGTACCCATAGGAGAAATTCCTAAAGTGGAGCTGCTGAGTCAATGCATATCTACATTGATTTTTTTTTTTTTTTTTTAACTTCTTGTGAGTCAAGAGCTTCCCTGGTGGCGCAGTGGATAAGAATCTGCCCGCCAATGCAGGGCACACGGGTTCAATCCCTGGTCTGGGAAGATCCCACATGCTGTGGAGCAACTAAGCCGTGCTCCACAACTACTGAGCTTGTGCTCTGGAGCCAGCAAGCCACAACTACTGAGCCCGTGTGCCACAACTACTGAAGCTCACGTGCCTAGGGCCCGTGCTCCGCAACAAGAGAAGCCACCAGAATGAGAAGCCCATGCACCGCAACAAAGAGTAGCCCCCACTCGCCGCAACTAGAGAACGCCTACGTGCAACAACGAAGACCCAACACAGCCAAAAATAAATAAATAAATAATTTTTAAAAATGTGAGTCAAAATTCACATAATGTAGAATCAAACATTTTAAAGTGTGACATTTAGTACATCCACAATGTTGTGGAACCATCACCTTTATCTAGCTCCAAAACACTTTCATCACCCCAAAATGAAACCCTAAACCCATTAATCAGTCTCAAAAACATAATGCTAAGTGAAAGAAACCAGACACTAAAGGCCACCCTATTGTATGATTTCATTTACAGGATATTCCCAGACTAGACAAATCCATAGAGACAGAAAGTAGATTAATGGCTGCCAGGGGCTGGGGGAATGGGTGTGAATGCTAACAGGTACGGGGTTCCTTTTTGTGGTGTTGACAATGTTCTGGAATTAGATAGTGGTGATAGTTGCACAACTTTGTAAGTCTACTAAAAGCTGCTGAATTGTACATATCAAATAGTTAGAATGGTATGTTATGTGAATTTTATCAAGTAAATTGAAAAAAACAAAAGGTGGTTATTGCTGGTATTATTATTGTTGATGGTACTGTCTTTGTTGGCTCTGAAAAGCCACATCTAATCTCTCCAAATCCCTGCAATTTGATTTCTCTCTTCTTACCTCCTTGTGGTCTTTCCCCTTATGTGGGGACTTGTCTTTAAGTCACATTTATCTTTCTCTCACTGTCTCTTTCATGTTCTTTTCTGCCACCCAGGTAGGTTCTAAGCTCCTTGGGCAGCCCACCCACCTGTCTTTCATCTCTTCTGGAGGCAGAGCCAGTTTCTGGATATTCATTGAATACCTGTTAAACAGGCGAATGCAGTTAGCAGCTGAGCCCCTGCCTCATCGATTCCAATGTGCATTTTCTGTTCACCTTCACTGTGGACAAGTAGTAGTGAAATCCTAAAGAAGACCAGGTGGGTCCTGATCCTGAGGAGGCGTTAGAGCAAGGCGCCCCCTGTAAGTAGGCGCAGCGTTGGTGTGCCTCCCCAGGTGAGCAGGGGCTAGTGGACTTCAGCCCTCAAGGGCCACGCAGCCTGCACCCTGGTCCACAACCTGCACTTCGTACCTGGAGGCCCTGGGAGAGGAAGCATGGAAGGGCCTCCGGAATGGAAGATCAAAGGATACAAACAGGGACCTTAGCAGGAAGACAAAAAGGGAATTGGTGCGAGATTTTGCCCAGAGCAGTGGTTTTCAATCTTTAGCCTTCACCGAAATCACCTGCTTCAGGTGACTCTGGATTCTGCAGGGCCCCACACCCAAAGCTTCTGAGTCTGTCATTCTGGGGTGGGGGTTGAAATTTCCCATCTCTAACAGAATCCCAGGTGATGCTGCTGCTGCACTTTTTTTTTTTTTGCCGCACTGAGTGGCTTGCGGGATCTTAGTTCCTCGACCAGGGATTGAACCTGGGCCATGGCAGTGAAAGCGCTGAGTCCTAATCCCTGGACCACCAAGGAATTCCCAGCCTTATTCTTTCTTTAATTCTAAATAGACTAGGAAATGCTACTTTGAAAAGCAATTGCTATAGAAGGTCTCTCCCTATAGTTTATAGACAGAGGGGTCAGCCTTCTCGGGTTTCAGCTGTGTGGCCTGGTTAACCTGCTTCCTTAGACCACTAATGCCCTAAATGACAAGAGAAGAAGTGGCAGATGGGAAATAACAGGCTGTGAGCTCCTCCAGGGAGGGCCCTGCCCTGAGCCCCTTGCCCGCGCAGCGCACACAGTGCCAGCAGCCAGGCATATATTACGTGCTCAAAAGATGCTTGTGAAATGGAGCCAGCCTGCATCCTAGGAGCTCTGCTTTTAAAACTCTGCCTGAACACTACCTAATTATAGCCACTTGCACTTTTGACTCATTCTAAAACTGTTCCTCAGACAGTTCATCCTGTATCCTAGCATTAGCTTTTCCCTAATTTCCAATGTCAAGAGATTCAGCCATTAGGCTATGTTTAGCAGACAATCTGTTTCTGCTGAGCATCTTAATTACGTTCAAACCAGGAAATGGGCAGAAGTTAGAAAGAAAAATTAGTAAGGACAGAAATTTCAAACATGTTAATCTTGGTAAGGTGGGTAAAATGCAAATCTACCTACAGATATTACAAATTAGATTCATTTTAGAAAATAATAGGGGGTTCCCTGGTGGCCTACTGGTTAGGATTCTGGGCTTTCACTGATGAGGCCTGGGTTCAATCCCTGGTCGGGTAACTGAGATCCCCCAGGCCACGCCACACAGCCAAAATAATAGTAATAATGATAATAAATGTATCTCAGAGGAAACTAAGCATGAGCAGGAATATGAAATAAGAGCAAGAAGAACATTAGACATTCAAATTAACATGAAGAATCGTGGTTAACCAACACTATGAATGAGACTGTGGTCTAGTGTGGATGCAAAAGAGGCCCAATGTCAGGCTAGAGAGACGTCTATGCACTTTTCTTACAAAAAGGCACATGGAACAATAGATTTTTTTTTTTTTAATGCAAGAAAAGTTTTCCTAGAAGGAGAATAGAAAAGTTCTTAAAATGTGGACTTTCCTGGTGGTACAATGGTTAAGGCTCAGCCCTTCCACTGCTGGGGCACAGGTTCTATCCCTGGGCAGGGAAGTTCTGCATGCTGCAGGGTGCAGCCAAAGAAAAAAAAGTTCTTAAAATGCTAGGGGAGTGAGGATCGCACTGGGTGACCCCAGCCAAGTTACAGGACCACTGTTTCCTCATTTCATGTACAATGAGGATAAAAATACAGTCTCCAAACAGTGGTGGTGAAGATTAAATACGATGTCCGATGTCCGTGGTGCACTATACAATACTGTTTGATTTTTGCCCAGAGTCTGAAACTGACTAGGACCCTGTGGGGCTCCAGGGCACTAAAGTCTTTCTGTGTACCCCATTTCTTGTTTGCAGGAAATACGCTTTTTCAGCCTCCACGACCTTCCCTGAATTACAAAGGAGAGGTTCAAACAGCTGCTAATCAGGAAGGGAGGGGACTCGGAGACAAGGGAGGAACAGTCAAGCCAAGGGGCAGATGGTGCGGGGTGGTCTGGGAGTTTGGGACTAGCAGATGCAAACCGGTACATATATGATGGATAAACAAGGGCCCCCTACTGGGGCTTCCCTGGTGGTGCAGTGGTTGAGAGTCCGCCTGCCGATGCAGGGAACACGGGTTCGTGCCCCGGTCCGAGAAGATCCCACGTGCCGCGGAGCGTCTGGGCCCGTGAGCCATGGCCGCTGAGCCTGCGCGTCCGGAGCCTGTGCTCCGCAACGGGAGAGGCCACAACAGTAAGAGGCCTGCGTGCCGCAAAAACAACACCACCACCAAAAAAAACAAGGTCCTACTGTACAGCACAGGGTACTATATTCAATATCCTGTGATAAGCCATAATGGAAAAGAATATGAAAAATAATGTGTATATGTGTATAACTGAGTCGCTTTGCTGTGCAGTAGAAATTAACACAACATTGTAATTCAACTATAC